TCCACCTCCCAGGTTTAAGTGATTCTCCTGCCTTAGCCTTCTGAGTAGCTGGGATTACAGGCGTCCACTACCATACCCAGTTATTTTTTATACTTTTAGTAGAGACGGTGTTTTGCCATGTTGGCCAGGCTGGTCTCAAACCCCTGACATCATGTGATCCCCCCCACCTCAGCCTTCCAAAGTGCTGAGATTATAAGCGTGAGCCACCACGCCATCCTAGTTTGTTCCCATTTCATTTTTAAACTTCTGAGGACAAATCGCCCTTTGTCAATTATACCTAGAAGATCCTGAATTTTTAGCTATTTGATTTAATAACTCCAAACTGCTCGTTTTAGGTTGATCCCGACCTCATTATCTCAGGCCAGCGCCTCACACGTCTCTTCAGGGGGAGAGGAGCCCAGCCACAAGGCCAGGTGTAGCTAATGCAGCCATTGTCCTCTTTTTGCTGACTGTTGGCATCTCCAAGGAGACAGTCGATAGGCTGCCTTTCTAGAAGTTTCTTTCCCGGGGGCCTCCCTTGCCTGCTCATGCCTGGCTACCTGCCTATTCTAACAAAACTGTCTTGGTTAAAAACTGAGGTGATGAATTCTATTCAATCCGAAAGAAGTATCCATTTTGTCCCTAAAGAATCCTTTTGCCCATAAAATTGCAAAGGGTTCCATTAATTTTTTAATTGCTTTTTTTCCTTATTTAAAAAAAGAAGCCCTTTTATTTATCTTTTGATCTCTTCCAAGGTGCTGCTAGGAATCTCCCTCAGCCTGTGTGATTTTTACATTGAATACTTGCTTTTCTCTGTTTTCTTCCCCTTGTAGTCTTCTTTCATATTTTGAAAACTGTCCTTTTTCCCCTTCTGCAGTGAACTAACTCATTTATGTAACTGGGCTGGTTCTGTTCAAATGCTTGTTATTTCTTTTATTATATTTTTTCTTTTTTTTCTTTTCTTTAAATGCAGTCTTGCTCTATCACCCAGGCTGGAGTGCAATGGTAATGACCTAGGCTCACTGCAACCTCTGCCTCCCGATTACTCATGCGTCAGCCTCCCGAGTAGCTAGGATTATAAGCACCCATCGCCATGCCCAGGTAATTTTTGTACTTTTAGTAGAGATGGGGTTTTGCCAGGTTGGCCAGGCTGGTCTCAAACTCCTGATCGCAAGTGATGTGTTGCCTCAGCCTCCCAAAGTGCTGGGATTACAGGTGTCAGCCACCACACCTGGCCGTGCTTGCTCTTTTTTTCTTTTTTTGAGACAGAGTCTTGCTTTTGTCACCAGGCTGGAATGCAACGGCACAATCTCGGCTCACTGCAACCCCTGCCTCTTGGGTTCAAGCAATTCTCCTGCCTCAGCCTCCTGAGTAGCTGGAATTACAGGCACTTACCACCATGCCCAGCTAATTTTTGTATTTTTAGTAGAGACGGGGTTCCACCATGTTGGCCAGGCTGGTCTCCAACTCGTGACCTCATGATCCACCTGCCTTGGCCTCCCAAAGTGTTGGGATTACCGGTGTGAGCCACCGCGCCCAGCCCATGCTTGCTATTTCTTATTCATAAAACATTCATTTCCTGGATTTTCAATTAAGTGCAAAAAGGAAGCATCCCCTGCCCAGAAGTTAGGAGAACTGCAGAACCCCAGCTCAGTTACTAACTAGGTACGACGCTAGATGACACATTTACTGTGGCTTTTGTTCCCTTTCTTTTAACATTACAGATTGGAAAAAAACAAAAAACAACTTTCTATTCCTTAAAGTTCTAAAATTGACAGAATTTAGCTGGGTCCAGTGGCTCATGCCTGTAATTCTAGCACTTTGGATTTTTGCTGTTGTTGTTGAGACGGAGTTTCACTCTTGTCATCCAGGCTGTAGTGCAGTGGCATGATCTCGGTTCACTGCCACCTCCATCTTCTGGGTTTGAGCAATTCTCCTGCCTCAGCCTCCTGAGTAGCATGTGCAACCATGCCTGGCTAATTTTGTATTTTAGTAGAGAGAGAGGGTTTCACAATGTTGGCTTGGCTGGTCTCAAACTCCTGACCTCAAGTGATCTGCGTGCCTTGACCTCCAAAAGTGCTGAGATTACAGGCTTGAGCTCCTGCCCCTGGCAATTTCAGGAAGCTGAGGCAGGAGGAGTGCTTGAGGCCAGGAGTTCAAGACCAGACTGGGCAGCAAAGTAAGACCCCATCTCTACAAAAAACACAAAAATTAGCTGGTGTGATAGCATATACCTATAGTCCCAGCTACTTGGGTGGTTGAGTCAGAAGAATCACTTGAGCTTGGGAGGTAGAGGCTGCAGTGAGCTATGATCATGGCACTGTACTCTAGGCTGGGTAACAGAAACCCTGTCTCTAAAAAAAAAAAGGAATTTATAATTATAAATTATTCTATGTCTTTATATATTATTTATTTAAATATATATTCTATAATTTTTTTGAGATGGAATCTCACTCTGTCACCCAGGCTGGAGTGTAGTGGTACAATCCCAGCTCACTGCAACCTCTGCCTCTTGGGTTCAAGTGATTCTCCTGACTCAGCCTCCTGAGTAGCTGAGACTACAGGTGCGCATCACTACACCTGGCTAATTTTTGTACTTTTTGGTAGAGACAGTGTTTTAGATGTTGGCTAGGCTGGTCTCAAACTCCTGACCTCAAGTGATCCTCCTGTCTTGACCTCCCAAAGTAATGGGATTACAGGTGTGAACCACTATGCCAGGTTATATCCTATAAATTCTAAAGAGAATGAAAAGGAGTTGGCAGCCTTCCTTTGCGACACTAAATTTTTGTTTTTCTTTGAGACAGTGTCATCCATGCTGGAGTGTAATGGCACCATCATAGCTCACTGCAGCCTCGACCTCCCCGGGCTCAGGCCATCCTCCCACATAAGCTTCCCAAGTAGCTGGGACTACAGGTGTGTACCACCATGCCTGGCTAATTTCTGTATTTTTATTAGAGACAGAGTTTTCCATGTTGCCCAGGCTGGTCTCAAACTCCTTGGCTCAAGTGATCCTCCTGCCTCCACCTAAATTGCTGGGATTACAGGCATGAGCCACTGTGCCTGTCCTAAACGTACTTTTATAATAATTATTTTTAAATGTCAGAACTTCCTTATAATTAGTCAGGTATGTTTTTATATAAATGCACGAAGGTAAGCACATCCTGTCTGGATTTCTGTGTATGCACTTTTTCTTAAAAATTTTAACAATCACGTATAACCTCGTAGAACTTTTGTTTGCAGATGCCTCCTTTTTCATAAAATTATGTCCTTGTTTTAACATAATGCTGTCTTTTCTAATTTTTCTGAATGTGCTTTAAAAATTTATCTTCTATTTCCTGAATTACATAATTTTTCCAGAATATATTTTCTTGTCTTAATCTTTCCTTTTTGAGACAGGGTCAGGAGTGTAGTGCCATGATCACGGCTCACTGCAGCCTTGACCTCCTGGATTACTCAAAGGATCCACCCACCTCAGCCTCCCTGAGTAGCTAGGACCATGGGCAGTGCCACCATACCCGGCTCATTTAATTATTTTGTAGAGACCAGGTTTCACCATGTTGCCCAGACTGGTCTTAAATTCCTGAGCTCAAGCAATTCCCCAGCCTCAACCTCCCAAAGTGTTGGGATTACTGGCATAAGTCACTGTGCCCAGCTGCTCTTCCTCTTTCATATAAAACTTTTTCTTTATTTGATAACCTTTGCCTACTATTCATATTTAAGAATGCAGCAACAGACAATTAGGATCTCTGTACAATTCACCATATAATTCTTTTACTGCAGAGTATCTCTGGCCGGGTATTTCTCTGTCCAAAATATCCGACAGAAAATCGGTTGTGATACATTGTTTTTTTTTTTTTTTGAGACGGAGTTTCTTCGCTCTTGTTACCCAGGCTGGAGTGCAATGGCCTGATATCGGCTCACCGAAACCTCCGCCTCCTGGGTTCAGACAATTCTCCTGCCTCAGCCTCCCGAGTAGCTGGGATTACAGGCACGCGCCACCATGCCCAGCTAATTTTTTGTATCTTTAGTAGAGACAGGGTTTCACCATGTTGACCAGGATGGTCTCGATATCTTGACCTCGTGACGCACCCATCTTGGCCTCCCAAAGTGCTGGGATTACAGGCTTGAGCCACCGTGCCTGGCTGATACATTGTTTTATAGTAATGTCTGTTACAGTTTACCCATAATTCCATTTTCTTTCATTCTTCAGAATTTCAGGTCTTTTTTTTTTTTTGAGACAGAGTCTTGCTCTATCACCCAGGCTGGAGTACCATGGCGTGATCTGGCTCATTGCAACCTCCACCTCCCAGGTTCAAGAGATTCTCCTGCCTCAGCCTCCCCAGTAGCTGGGATTACAGGCATGCACCACCCGGCCCGGCTAATTTTTTTTATTTGTAGCAGAGACAGGGTTTTACTGTGTTGGCCAGGCTAGTTGTGAACTCTGACCTCAGGTGATCTGCCTGCCTCAGCCTCCCAAAGTACTGGGATTACAGGCATGAGCCACAGTGCCCAGCCAGGTTAGCCATCTTTTACATCAAATATGAACCCTCTGAAAATCAGTAATTCTTTGTACAGAGTATAACTCTCTTCTTAGAATATATACCATGAACGCCCCACATTCACCTAATGTCACAAACAAGGCAGCCTTCACTTTTTCCCTGAAGTTGGATTTGTGTCATGTTTTTGTTTTTATTTTGGCATCATGTTTATTTTTAACTCTCCACACTAAATGGCTGTAATGCTTCTGATTATTTTGTCATAACTCAGCTTTTAGTCCTCTGATTAAAGCAGCTCTCATCTTCAAGTAGCATCTCTTTTAATTTCCAAATCTGTATCTCCTGCTCCAAACTCAGATTTATCTAAGTTCTGATTCTGTACTTCTTAGGGCTTCCAGGCTTATGTCTCTTCAAATGAAGTTAGCCAAATTTTGCTGAAATTATCAGCTTTTCCTTAGGGGGAATGATGCATAATCACTATGGAAGCAGTTAAGAAACTTCAGCATTCACATAAACAAACTAAGATTCAGGACAATTCATTTAATTGCTACCAGTTTACAAATAAATGAAAGAAAACCAAATCCAATTAGCATGTCAGGCCTGCAACAAAATTCACTGGATTTAACCCACAGTTTAAGATCACACTCTGAAAAAAAAAAAAGTAGAATTAACATTTAATAGCCACCCCTCCTTTCAGCTTGAGAAAGGTACTGTAGGAATTTCCTTCTGTCTTAATTCAAGCTGGTATTTTACAGTGGGCTTAGCATTTGGGCAAAAATTGCCACCGAAGATGGCAGGAAGAATAAAGATCTCTTTTTATCACTGGATAGGAAACATAAGGCCAGGAGCAGTGGCTCACGCCTCTAATCCCAGCACTTTGGGAGGCTGAGGTGGGTGGATCACAAGGTCAGGAGTTCGGGACCAGCCTGAACAACATGGTGAAACCCCATCTCTACTAAAAATGCAAAAAATTAGCCCGATGTGGTGGCAGGCATCTGTAATCCCAGCTACTTGGGAGGCTGAGGCAGGAGAACTGCTTGAATCCAGGAGAAGGAGTTGCAGTGAGCTGAGATCGTGGCACTGCAATCCAGCCTGGGTGACGCTGACTCAAAACAAAAAACAAAAAAACAAGAAATTACTGATTTTCCGAAGAGAAAATCTTTTGTGGTTCCTTATATTCCTAACTTGTATTACACTCCTGCTCAAAGAAGGACACCTGCTCCTACAATCCATCTTCCAGCGGGTCTGGGTACTGTTGCTGTGGATTCCCCGGCAATCCCCATCCTGCTCAATGCTTTAGCTGTCCCACTCTGCCTCAACTCCAATCGGCCTCTATCATTGCAAACAGTTGGCTGAGCCTTTTCTTAATATCCAGCTCACCTGGAGCAGGACAAGATTTTGTGTGCACTCTGATGTGTTCTGCAAGCTTAGATTTATAAATGAAGCCCTTCCCACAGTCGCCACAGGCAAAGGGCCTCTCGGGCCTGTGGATGCGCTGGTGCCTCAGCATGTGTCCCCTTTCCCGGAAGTTCTTGTCACACTCAGGACAGTGGAAAGGCCTCTCCCCTGTGTGCAGGCCCTGATGACTGAGCAGCTGCGCCTTCAAGCGGAAACTCTTGTCACACTTGGGACATTGAAAAGGTTTCTCTCCTGTGTGTGTCCTGATGTGCTCAATGAGCTTCGAGTGTTTCACGAAGCCCTTGCCGCACTCACAGGAGAACGGCATCTCCCCGCTGTGCTGCAGCTGGTGGGCCTTCATGTCGGCCTTCACGCGATAGCGCTTGCCGCACTCCGGACACTGGAAGGGTCTCTCCCCCGTGTGCAGGCGCTGGTGGCTGAGCAGCTGTCCCTTCAGGCGGAAGCTCCTGTCGCACTCTGGGCACTGGAAGGGCCTCTCCCCGCTGTGCACACGCAAGTGCTCCGTGAGCTTGGACTGTCTGGTGAAGCCCTTGCCGCACTCCCGGCACGAGAACGGCCTCTCCTTGCTGTGCGTGTGCTGGTGGGCCTTCAGGATGCCCTTCAGGCGGAAGCACTTGTCGCACTCCGGGCACTGGAAGGGCCTCTCCCCACTGTGCACCCTCAGGTGCTCGCGGAGCTTACACTGGTGGGTGAAGCCTCTGCCGCACTCGCTGCAGGAGAACGGCCTCTCCCCGCCGTGCCGCAGCCGGTGGGCTCTCAGCATGCTCTCCAGGCGGAAGCTCAGCCCACATTCTGGGCACTGAAAGGGCTTCTCGTCCGTGTGCAGCCGCTGGTGCCGCAGCAGCTGTCCCCTCTGACGGAAGTTCCTGCCACACTTGGCACACCAGAAAGGCTTCTCCCCGCTGTGGACTCGAACGTGCTCCGCGAGTTTACACTGCTTGGCGAAGCCCTTGCCACACTTCCTGCAGGAGAACGGTCTCTCCCCACCGTGCGCGTGCTGGTGGCCCTGCAGCAGGCGGCGCAGGCGGAAGCGCCGGGGGCAGTGCGGGCACTGGAAGGGTTTTTCTCCTGTGTGCGCCCTGCAGCGGCTGGCGAGTCTGGCACTTGTAGGGGAACGCTCGCCACATGCTGGGCAGGAGCAGGGCCCCTCCGCACCATGCTGCAGGGCCTCCGTGTCCCCCTCCTGATGGCCACTCCCTTCCCTGGCCAGGCGTGAGCCTGGCTTCTGTCCTGAGTGCATACTGCTGGAGGCCCCACCGCCTTCTCTCCAGGAGGCCAGCCCCTCCCGGCTGTGCTGGCACCGGCAGGCCTGCGTGCTGTCTACCGGGAGCGAGAGCTTGCTGCACAGGGTGCACTGGCCAGGCTTCTGCCGGAGGCAGTTGCTGGGATAGGCCCGCTCCCGTCGGAAGCACATTTCACTGTCGGCGCTCTGGAAGGGGCCCCTTCCGGTGTGGGCAGCCAGATGGCGCAGCAGATATGGCTTCCGGCGGAAGCTCTTACCGCACGCGCCACACCGGAAATGCTTCTGTCCCCAAAGGCAGCTCCGCGGCAGCTGTGTCTCTGCCCGCTTGTTGAGTTTCTCCCAGGCTCTAGGTAGCCGGTCCTTCGAGTGGCCCCTCTGGTTCATTACTAAATGGTTGTTCTCCCAACAGCTTTCCCGGCAGACAGGACAAGGGTACTGGGTGCTCTCCCAAGCAGGGACGTCCCACAAACCAGGGAGATCCAGATTTCTGGGACCTGGGATTCCTTCTTTTTGGGCCGATGCACTGGGGCCACAGGCCAGTGGTGGAGGAGCCCTAGCGTCATGTCTCTGTGGGCTCCCAAGGGTGATGCCTTGGTCAGGCCTGAAGGAAACAGCTTCCCTTTCTCCTAAAAGGGATCCAAAGGAACACTGGCTCTCAAGAGGACCTAACTGTAAATGGCTTTTCGTTTTCTCTGAATTCACAGCCTGCTGGCTTCCTGCAATTGAAAACAGAAATTCAGTCGGTATTCCTGTCTGCTGCACAACTAACGATTCTCACGGTCAGGTGATCCACAAGAGTGTCTTGTGGTGGCCTGGGAACCCAGCTTCCACTGAGCTACCCAACCATACAGCGTGGTCTGTCTTATGGCCAAAGTGAGTTTGGCTGAGTCTACTGAAACTAAACTGAACAGACATATCTTTTGATAATATTGAAAAATGGAAAATATAGGTTGCAAACATAGAGTGTAAGCTCTGGAATCAGACTGCCTGCTTTTGAATCCTACCTGTCCACCGTGTAACCTTTGTCAGGCTTCAGATCCTTCTGTAAGTACGTAAGATGGCTGTGAGAATTAAATGAGCTAATGTGCATGAGGTGCTTGGCATGGTGGCTGGCATAGTGCATGCACTCTGTAAGTGCTGACTGCTGTCATGACTTCAGGAACATCAGATGTATCCCATTTTGATGTACAGACACACCGGAGTCCTCAGCTGAGGATGGCAGTAAGTTCCTATCAGAGCCCTGACTAATACTACAGTTACATGCGATCCTTGAGCCATCTTATCTCTAAGACCTGGCAGCAAGGGTTGGTCCTATTTCTCCCTCCCTAACCCCATTTCTGCCAATGTTTCAAGAAGGTTTCTCGGAAATAATAACAGATGGTAGAAAGTTAAGTAATTTGGGCGGGGGGAACCTTCGCTTTTGAAAGAAGCAGATAAAAACTAAAACTATCTGACAAGATTTCTTGAAACGATGCTCCCATTTGACTTTTTCATTCTGTACTTTAAAACTGATTTAAGAAACCAAAAATCTCAGACTCTCTCATCATGACAAGAAATGAAAGAGAAGAGCTATGGTTGAAGTATTCACGTAGACAACAATTCTCTAATTCAAGTAGACAACAATTCTCTAGTTAGGAAGGAAGCCACATTAGTCACAAAAACCTGGATAACCATGGGCCAGGCATGGTGACTCACAACTATATTCCCAGCACTTTGGAAGGCTGAAGTGGGAGGACTGCTTGAGACCAAGAGTTCGAGACTGCAGTGAGCTATGGTCATGCCACTGTGCTCCAGCCTGGGTAACAGCGATATCCTGCGTCTTAAAAAAAAAAATCTGGATAACCAGTTTCTGCTGAGTTCTTACTATATATCAGTGCTCTCTCTTTACACACACACACACACACACACACACACACACACACACGTTTTTGGTTTTTTTTTTTTTGAGACTGAGTCTTGCTCCATCACCCAGGCTGGAGTGCAGTGGCATAATCTCAGCTCACTGCAAGCTCTACCTCCCAGGTTTAGGTAATTCTCCTGCCTCAGCCTCCTAAGTAGCTTGGATTACAGGTGCCTGCCACCACGGCCAGCTAATTTTTTTGTATTGATAGTAGAGAATGGGTTTCACCATGTTGTCCAGGCTAGTCTAGAACTTCTGACTTCAAATGATCCGCCTGCCTCGGCATCTCAAAGTGCTGGGATTACAGGCTTGAGCCACCACACTTGGCCTAACACCACATATATTAACCAAGTCAATCCTGTAACATGGGTAAATTCATTTTATAGATGAGGCATTGAAATACTGAAAGGTTCAATAACTTGCCCAAAGTAACCAAGAAAAAGCTAGATCCAGACATAGGCTCCAGAACCCACATTCCTAACCATTATGCTCACTGCCTTTATCTAGAATATAAGAATCATCAAACCTCAGCCTGCCCAAACAGGATGACAAGATCAGAGAAGGGAAACAAATCTAAACGCCATGTCTTAAGGTCAGGGCCCTGATTTCTTAATACTCACCCCAAAACAGCTGTTCCTCAAAACCTATCTCTAAATGCAAATCAACAGAGGAACAAATTATGTTTCCTGATTTCTGTGATTCTCTCCAGTTCCTGAAGGGCTCTTCCCCCTGTTCAATCCAGGCTATTAGTTCTGGTTTTGGAAGTCCATCATCTGCACAGAGAAGTCAGACAGGGTAGTTTAGCTTCCTGAATTTAAAGCACACTAAGTTTCTCAATTTCTCAACATTCACTCTTGGGACAAAGTATGGGAACACATGTCAAAAAACAAATAAACAGGTTTACACAAAGATGAGAAAACTGCCTACACATCCTAACAGTGCTTCCTTAGTCTGGGCATGTCAGAGCAGTTGTGTTTTAATTTTGCCATGGGCTCCATACATTTAGCAATGCTCTATTTTGTCCAAAAACAAAAGGCTAATATTTATATATATTATATATAATGCTTATATGCATTATATATAAATAATATATATTTATTTATATTTATTATATATGTATATTTTTTGAGACTGGGTCTCTCTCCAGTTGCCAAGGCTGTAGTGCAGTGGTGCCAACATGGCTCACTGTAGCCTCGACTTCCTGGGCGCAGATCATTCTTCAATTCAGCCTCTTGAATAGTTGGGACTACAGGCATGCACCACCAGGCCAAGCTAATTTTTGCATTTTTAGTGGAGACAGATTTGACCATGTTGCCCAGGCTGGTTTCGAATTCCTGTGCTCAAGCAATCTGCTCAGCTTCCCAGAGTGCTAGGATTACAGGCATGAGCCACTGCACCCGGCCTTCAATATTCTTAATGGTGATTTAATAAGAGCCAAATCATAGGGGTCCAATTTTAAAGCAAGTTGGTTATGGCAAAAATGTGGTCAAAAAGATTTTTTTAAATGCTTTCAGTTATTATGATGATTATTTTAGATAGGGTCTCACTCTGTCTCCCAGGCTGAAGTGCAGTGGCATCACAGCTTACTGCAGCCTCAACTTCCTGGGCTCCAGTGATCTGCCCATCTCAGCCTTCAGAGTAGCTGGGACTACAGGCAAGAGCCACCACACCAGCTAATTTTTTTTATTAGTTTTTGAGATGGGGCTCTCACTGTGTTGCCCAGGCTAGCCTCCAACTCCTGGGCTCAAGTAGTCCTACCACCTTGGCTTCTCAAAGTGCTGCAGTTACAGTGTTAGTTAGCCACCGCACTTGGCCAGTGGTTTAATTTATTTTAATTAATTAATTCATTAATTTTGAGACGGAGTTTCGCTGCTGTTACCCAGGCTGGAGTGCAATGGCGCGATCTCGGCTCACCACAACCTCCGCCTCCGGGGTTCAGGCAATTCTCCTGCCTCAGACTCCTGAGTAGCTGGGATTACAGGCACGCACCACCATGCCCAGCTAATTTTTTGTATTTTTAGTGGAGACGGGGTTTCACCATGTTGACCAGGATGGTCTCGATCTCTTGACCTTGTGATCCACCCGCCTCGGCCTCCCAAAGTGCTGGGATTACAGGCGTGAGCCACCGCACCCGGCCTAATTTATTAAAAGTATTTCTAGCACATGGGAAAGGAGAAAAACATACCAAAATCTGGATGCCATCTAATTCTGTCAAATCCTACCATGCTGATGCACTTTAGGTTTTTTGTTGTTGTTTTTTTTTTTTTTTGATAGGGTTTTGCGGTGTCTCCCAGGCTGAAGTACAGTGGTACAATCACAGCTCACTGCAGCCTCGACCTCCTGGGCTCAAGCAATCCTCCTACCTCAGCCTCCTGATAGCTGGGACTACAGGCAGAAGTCCCCATGCTCAGCTAATTTTTAAATTTTTTGTAGAGACAGGGTCTCCCTAGATTATCCAGGCTGGTCCTGGGATAAAGATATCCTCCTTCATCGGCCTCTTAAAGTGCTGGGATTATAGGCATGAGTCACCACACCCAGACTACTTCATGTTTCTTAAAAATACGAGACTTTACACAGTTTAAGCCCCTGTATATCCCTCTCCACAGGTAAGCACTACCCTGAATCTAGTGTATATTATTCCTATGTATGTTCTTATTTTAAAATATATACATATAAATGTATAAAATATTGCTGGGTTTAAACTTTATATAGACCATGCCACATCTTACTGCAACTTGCTATTCTCTCCTCAAATTGTATGTTCAAAATGTCTCCATTTTGGAACACTTGGCTTTATTTGTTTGATAGTCTTTGATTATATGAATATATCACAGTCTTTCTTTTTCTTGTTCCCTGGCATGCCTCTATGAATACACACGTAAGCACAGACAGTTCTTGAAGTGAATTGCTGTATCATAGGGTAAGCATGTCTTCAACTTTACTGTATGTTACTAAATTGCTCTCCAAAGTGGCTGTGCTGACCGACAATCTCAATAGAGTAGGAATGTTCCGTCTGCTTCACATCTTGACAATACGCGATGCTATCAGATGTTTTTCTATCTAGAACATAGTACCGCATAATAAGTCTTGCCATCTGACAGGACAATCACCTTCCATCTAGTTCCATAAGACCGTCTTCATTATTCTTGACTTGGTTCTCCCATGTTCTTTAGGATCAGCTTATCAAATTCTGTGAAAAGCTCTATTGGGATTCTGACTGAACTTGCTTTGAATCTACAGAATGATTTGGGGAGAGAATTCACAAAAGGCAGAAAGGTCCATGTAACTGACTGTTGGATTAAGAAAATGGGGGTTCTCCTAGCTAGCCAGAGTGGCTCATGACTGTAATCCCAGCACTTGGGGAGGCCTAGGCAGGTGGATCACTTGACCACAGGAATTTGAGAACAGCCTGGGCAACATGGTAAAACCCTGTTTCTACCAAAAACACAAAAAATGAGGCAGGCATGGTTGTGTGTACCTGTGGTTCCAGCTACTCAGGAGGCTGAGGTGGGAGGATCTCTTGAGCCCTGGAGGTGGAGGTTGCAGTGAGCTGGGATCACACTGCTGCACTCAAGGCTGGGTGACACTGGGTGACAGTGAAACCCCATCTCAAAAAAAAAAAAAAAAAGATAATGGTGATGGATAATTACAGGGATTATGATGAAAGCATGAAAAAAAGTTGTGGCCTAACAATGAAAACAGTCAAACAAATTAAAATGTAGCATAATTTTGTCTTTTTCTTTTTTGAGACAGAGCCTCACTGTCACCCAGGCTGGAGTGCAGTGGCACAATACTGGTTCACTGTAGCTTCCACCTTCTGGGTCCAAGCAATTTTCCTCCCTCAGCCTCCCAGGTATCTGGGATTACAGGCACGCACCACCATGCCCAGCTAATTTTTGTATTTTTAGTAGAGACAGGGCTTCATCATGTTGGCCAGGCTGGTGTCAAACTCCTGACCTCAAGTGATCCACCCACCTAGGCCTCCCAAAGTGCTGGGATTACAGGCATGAGCCACCACACCTGGCCAAAATGTAGCATAATTCTGAACAACTGATAAGAATGACAACAAGGGAATCCATTTGATCTTGATGCTTGGAACATTCTTAACAGGTTGGCACAGGGTTATATATAGAATTGTATTTATGTCTCTATAGATTCATTTACTGCAACTGATTCTTCAGGACCAATGAAAACAATGTAATGTTTTCAGTTATATGTTTTACAAACAATCCATAGATACAGCCTGTAAAACAACTATGGTAACAGAACAGAATATAAATATTAGAAACTTTGCAATATAAAGAAGTATGGCTGTCATGAACTGGCAGAAGAGGTGAAGGGAAGTACCAGAGAACTAATTATCTTTATATACTGAAGGAGTCAAGAGATGAAATTGATGAAACACAAGCTAGAATCTTTTTATTTTTTTAAGAGACAGGGTCTCGCTGTGTTGCCCAGGCTGGAGTGCAGTGGCTATTCACAGGCATGATTCAACTACTGATCACCACAGGAGTTTTGAGCTGCTCCATTTCCGACCTGGGCCAGTTCACCCCTCCTTAGGCAACCTGGTGGTCCCCCGCTCCCGCTCCCAGGAGGTCACGATATTGATTCCAAACTTAGTGTGGACACCCGATCGGCATAGCGCACTACAGCCCAGAACTTCTGGGCTCAAGTGATCCTCCCACTTCAGCCTCCCGAGTAGCTGGGATTACAGGCATGTGCCACCACACCTGGCACAAGCTAGAATCTGAAACATATTATTTTAAATTATAAAGCTGACAAACAGAGGCACAGAAAACTCAAAAACTGGGGAGAAGAAGACAGAAGAGTGTGTAAGTGAGCTAATGCCTCATTTTTTATAGTAATTAATTAATGCTTTCTAAACTCAATAAATCAAGATAGTTAGTATAAGCATATCAGATTGGAGGAAGCCACTTTAAAAACAAAAAAAAAATGGTTTAAAGTGATTGCCTTCAGGTAGTTAACTGACTGTGGAGGTAAGAATGATGCAGGAGAAAGCATCTTTCACTTGATGCTTCTCTGAACAGACTGATTTTTTAAAAATTATATTTGATAAATAAAAAGAAATATAAAAGCAAAATAAGCAAAAAGAACATCCAATACCATAACCAGGCAGAGGCAGCTACTCTTAAAACACTTCCTTGTACAGCCTTCCAAAATAGATTTTCTGAAGTATGTAGACCCCACTGTAAAAGTTGTGAGGTAGGGATATCCTAGGTTAAAGATATACAGGGCACTTCAAGAATGTGCGCTAGGTGTGCTCCTGCGTGGATGATCTTGGCATCCTGACAGTAAGTCATGACTGAAGGCCCCTCATATATAATATTTAGTCATCTTACACTGCTCAAATCACCCCATCACCTTACACTGCTCAAATATTCTCATGCAACGTCTACCCTTGAGTAAGGATTAACAATGTTGACAAAAGTATTAACAAAAAATTACAGAGTCAAAATATCCTTCTGGGAAATCTTGCTATCCAAGAAACAGGAACATCAAGTGACTGTGACCCGTTACAGGATCCAGTTCCATGCCCTACCCACAAAGGTCAATAGGCCTTACCTAGTGAGATGAGAGTCTCATAATTGCTTCTCATCACACGCTTGTAAAGCTCCTTCTGCCATGCCTGTAGATCCTGCCACTCTTGCTCCGAGAAATAAATGGCAACATCCTCAAAAGTCAGAGGTAGCTGAAATTGTAGACGTAAGACATATGTATTCATGATTGCTTCAAAACGACTCCAGCTCCTTCTCCTTGTTAATTTAAAAGACTTCTGCAGTGGACAACTGTTTTTCGTTGTTCAGCAGCTTCTTCCTGGAGAACTACTCCTTCCCAAACTCCAATCACATCGTTCTGCTGTTAACCACTACACGCCTCCCTCCACGTTTCATTATGTTTGTTCAAAGTATATGTACATATGTAAAGTATGGAATTTTTTTACGAAAATGGGAACAAATCACTTTGTAGCTCTGTTCACTTAATACGTCACAGATCTCTTTATAAGTCAATAATATATATTGAGGCAAACTTATTTGTTTGGTAAAGTTGCATTAATATTCCATGAGTAGATATACCCCACTGATGGGACGGACACATATTGTGTGTTTCACTTATAAAATACAGTGTTCTCACATGCTTCCTATCTATCAGTGCTTTTACTTCTGCAGGTTAAGTCTAAAAAGGAGAACTACCAACTGGGTGCGGTGGCTCATGCCTGTAATTCCAGCACTTTGGGAGGCCGAGACAGGTGGATCACAAGGTCAGGAGATCAAGACCATCCTGGCCAACATGGTGAAACCCTGTTTCTACTAAAAATGCAAAAATTAGCTGGGTGTGGTGGCAGACACCTGTAATCCCAGCTATTTGGGAGGCTGAGGCAGGAGAATCGCTTGAACTGGGAGGCATGTTGCAGTAAGCTGAGATTGTGCTACTGCACACCAGCCTGGGAGACAGAGTGAGACTCTGTCTCAAAAAAAAAAAAAAACTAAATCAAAGAGTATACACATCTTCAGTTTTAATAGAAACATTAGATTGTCTTCCAAACATAATCCAGCACATTTACCCTTGCTATTAACATGAGACTTCTTGTTTTTTTACACCTTTGCCAGCAAAAGATGTTCTTAAACCTTATTTTTTGCCAATGTGAGGTGGCAAATTGTATTTCAGTGTTTTAATTTACATTAATATGTGAGGCTGGAAATCCTAGCCAGAGCAATCAGGCAAGAGAAAACCCTAAAGACTCCTCCAAAAGACTCTTAGATTTGACAAACGAATTCAGGAAAGTCTCAAGTTTTTTTTTTTTTTTTTTTTTTTGAGACGGAGTTTCGCTCTTGTTACCCAGGCTGGAGTGCAATGGCACGATCTCGGCTCACCGCAACCTCCGCTTCCTCGGTTCAGGCAATTCTCCTACCTCTGCTTCCTGAGTAGCTGGGATTACAGGCACGCACCACCATGCCCAGCTAATTTTTTGTATTTTTAGTAGAGACAGGGTTTCACCATGTTGACCAGGATGGTCTCGATCTCTTGACCTCGTGATCCACCCACCTGCTGGGATTACAGGCGTGAGCCACCACGCCCAGCAAGAGTCTCAAGTTATAAAAAAAAGTATATAAATCAGTAGCACTTCTATACACCAACAACGACCAAGCTGAGAAATCGAGAACTCAGTACTTTTTACAATGGCTGGAAAAACAATAAAATACCTAGGCATACACTTGATATGGTTTGGCTGTGTGTCCACACCCAAATCTCCTATTGAATTGTCAAGCCCAGGATTAGAGTAGGGGACAGGTGGGAGGCAACTCAATCATGGGGGGCGGACTTCCCTCTTGCTGTTTTCAGATAGTGAGTTTTTACGAGATCTGCTTGTTTAAAAGTGTAGCACTTCCTCCTTCACTCTCTCTCTCCCCTGCTCCAGCCATGTGAAGACTGTACCTGCTTCCCTTTCGCCTTCTGCCATGATTGTAAGTTTCCTGAGGCCTCCCCAAGAAGCAGAAGACTAAAGAGTTACCAGCAACTGGTTTTGAATTTTATTGCTTTTCTAAAAACTGCATTAGAAAAAATGCAACATACATAAAATTGTTAGTATTATTTAATATTTATGTTTATTATAGTTGACTTGGACAAATGGACACTTCCTGAGGTTTACAAGTAGGAGTATGTAAATTATATATTTGTTAGTTTAAAATACTCTAGTTACATAAGCATACTTCCCACTTTTTACTGAACTGCAACTGTTACTGCTGTATGTCCTTATTTTCTATGGGTATTAATCTTGTTTCAACTTTATTTTTTATTTTTGAGATGGAGTCTAGCTCTGTTGCCAGGCTGGAGTGCAGTGGTCGGATATCGGCTCGGCTCACTGCAACCTCCAATTCCTTGGTTCAAGCTATTCTCCTGCCTCAGCCTCCTGAATGGCTAGGATTACAGGCATGCGTCACCACACCCAGCTAATTTTTGTATTTTTAGTAGAGACAGGGTTTCACCATGTTGGTCAGGATGGTCTCAGTCCGCTGACCTTGTGATCTGCCCACCTCAGCCTCCCAAAGTGCTGGAATTACAGGCATGAGTCACCATGCCCAGCCTAATTTTTATTTTTATTTATTTACTTTTATTTTGAGACAGTCTCACTCTGTTGCCGAGGCTGAAGTGCAGTGGCGTGATCTTAACTCACTGCATCCTCCGCTTCCCAATTGTCCTGCCTCAGCCTCCTAAGTAGCTGGGACTACCTGTGTGCGCCACCACCCTTTTTTTTTTTTTTTTTTTTTGTATTTCTAGTAGAGATGGGGGTTTCACCACGTTGGCCAGACTGGTCCAACTCCTGACCTCAAGTGATCCATCCACCTCGGCCTCCCAAAGTGCTGAGATTACAGATGTGAGCCACCATGCTCAGCCTCTTCATCTTTTATTTAATTTTTTTTTTGAGATGGGGTTTTGCTGTTTTGCCCAGACTGAAGCAGCATGATGTTGGCTCACTGCAACCTCCTCCTGCCAGGTTCAAGCAACTCTCCTGCCTCAGCCTCCCGAGTAGCTGGGATTATAGGTACCCACCACCATGCCCAGCTAATTTTTATATTTTTAGTAGAGATGGGGTTTCACCACATTGGCCAGGATGGTCTCAAACTCCTGACCTCAGGAGATCCATTTGCCTTGGCCTCCCAAAGTGCTAGGATTACAGGTGTGAGCCACCAAGCCCAGCCAAAAAAAAACTTTTTTTTTAAATTTTAGGTTCAGGAGTACATGTGCAGGTTTGCTATATAGGCAAATTACGTGCTGTGGGGGTTTGGTGTGCAGATTGTTTCATCACCCAGGTAATAAGCATAGAACCAGTAAGTAATTTTTCGGTCCTCATCCTCCTTCCAAACTCCACCTTCAAGTAGGCCCCATTGTTATTCCCTGCTTTGTATCCATATATTCTCAGTGTTTAGCTCCCCCTTATGAGAACATGTGGTACTATTTTTCCTGCATTGCTTCACTTAGGATTATGGCCCCCAGCTCCATCCAACTTTCTGCAAAGGATATGATTTTCTTTGATGGCTGCATAGCATTCCATGGTGCACATGTAGACTTTCTTTATCCAGTCTACCATTGATGGGCATTTAGGTTGATTCCACATCTTTGCTATTGTGAATAGTGCTGCAATGAACATATGCATACATGTGTCTTTATGCAGAACAATTTATGTTCCTTTGGGTATAATGGGATTGCAGGGTCAAATGGCAATTATGGCCAGTTGCAGTGGCTCATGCCTGTAATCCCAGCAATTTGGGCAGCCAAGGCAGGCAGATCACCCGAGGTCAGGAGTTTGAGACCAGCCTGGCCAACATGGCAAAACCCAGTCTCTACTAAAAATACAAAAATTAGCCAGGTGTGGTGACGGGCACCTGGCTAATCCCAGCTATTTGGGAGGCTGAGGCAGGAGAATCGCTCAAACCCAGGAGGCAGAGGTTGCAGTGAGCCGAGATGCACCACTGCACTCCAGCCTGGACAATAGAGCGAGACTCCATCTCAAAAAAAAAAAAAAAAAAAAAGTTAATTCTGCCCTGAGTTAAAAAATCACCAAACTGCTTTCCACAAAGGCTGAACTAATTTTCATTCCTCCCAGCAGTGTATAAGTGTTCTCTTTTCTTGCCAACATGTTTTTTTTTTTTTTAACTTTTTTATAGTACCCATTCTGACTGATATGAGATGGTACCTCATTGTGGCTTTGTCATTTTGGTAATGGTTAGTGATGCTGAGCATTTTTTCATATGCTTGTTGGCCATGTGTATGTCTTCTTTTGAGAGGTGTCTGTTCATGTCCTTTGTCCACTTTTTAATCAGTTGTTTTTTGCTTATAAATTTAAGTTCCATGTAGATTCTAGATATTTGACCTCTGTCAGATACATGGTTTACAGATATCCCATTCTGTAGGGTCTGTTTCCTCTGCTGATAGCTCCTTTTGCTGTGTAGAAGCTCATTAGTTTAATTAGGTCCCATGTGTCAATTTTGCTTTCATTGCAATTGCTTTTGGAGTCTCCATCACAAAATCTTTGCCAGGGCCTAGTCCAGAATACTATTTCCTACATTATCTTCCAGGGTTTGTATAGTTTTAGGTTATACATTTAAGTCTTTAATCTATGTTTTGTATATGGTATAAGGAATGGGCATAGTGTCAGTCTTCTGCATATGGCTAGCCAGTTATCCCAGCACCATTTGTTAAATAGGGAGTCCTTTTCCCACTGCTTTTGTTGACTTGTAGAAGATCAGATGATTGTAGGTGTGTGGCATTATTTCTGGACTCTCTATTCTGTTCCATTGGTCTATATGTCTGTTTTTGTACCAGTACCATGCTGTTTTGGTTACTGTAGCCTTGTAGTATAATTTGAAATTGGGTAGTATGATGTCTCCAGCTTTGTTCATTTTGCCTAGGACTGCCTTTGCTATTTGGGCTCTTTTTTTGGTTACATATGAATTTAATTTAATTTTTTACATATGGATTTTTAAAGTTTTTTCAGCCAGACACTAGCCCACACCTGTAATCCCAGTAATTTGGGAGGCCAAGGTAGATTAATTGCTTGAGCCCAGGAGTTTGAGCCCAGTCTGGGCAACAGGGCTAAACCTCATCTCTACCAAAACAATAACAAAACCCAGAAAAATTAGCAGGGCATGGTGGTACATGCCTGTAGTCCTAGCTACCTGAGAGGTTGAG